CGCCAGCGCGGAGACACCGCCCCGCCCCCGCTGCCCGCCCCCCCCGGGGAGCGGCGGCCTCCGCACGGGGCGCGGGCACCCCCGGGAACCGTCACACGGGGCACGGACACCCCTGGGCATCAGTGCATGGGACACGGACACCCCCAGGGCCCGACGCACGGGGTGCGGGCACCCCCGGGTACCATAACACGGAGCACAGACACCCCCGGGGAGCAGGGACCGTCACACGGGGCACGGACACCCTGCCTGGGGCACAGCCATCCCTGGCATCTGGGTACCTCCCGACTTTGGGTACCACTGCATGGGGCACAGCCCCCCCCCAGGAATCACTGCCTGGAGCACAGCCATCCCTGGGTACCACCGCCCCAGGTACAGCCACCCTCAGGGACCCCTGGGCTCCAGGTATTGCCACATGGAGCAGGGACATCCCCGGGCATCACCGGGTTGGGCACAGCCACCTCCGGCTACCCTGGGTACCAGCTCCTGGCCGCAGCCCTCGCGCCGGGACACGCGTTGTCCCCGCTGCCTCTGTGTCCCCTTCACCGGTGCCCCCGCACGCAGCCCCCGAGGCCCCCAAGCCCCCAGGCTGGCGGTGCCCCTGGCAAAGGCCCCTGTGCAGACAGCAGGACAGGGCTGTGCAGACAGCAGGACGGCGCGGGCCGGGCCCCGCTCCCCGGCACTGCCCCGCGTCATTCCCGGGATGCACAACGCGCCCCGGGCCGGGCTCGGCCTTTGTCCTACCCCTGCTCACGCCCCAGGCTCCACGAAGGCCTCTGTGCAGCCCCCGGGCCGGGCTCTTTCATCCCCCAAGCAGGGACTTGGAGGGAGAATAAAAGACAACCTGTCAGGCTCCAGCCCCCACTTGACTCTTTCCAAAAGCCGAGCGGCATATGGGAGCATTCGCCCCTTTCCCTGGAGATGGAGCGCAGCAGATGACAGGCTGCGAGCGCCTGTTAGCGCCACCACCGCCGGCTCCAGCCCATCAGCGGAGGCAGTTGCCACGGACCCAAACGCTGGCAGCTTTCAGTGAGCAAATGGCAGAGGAGAGGGATTCCCGGGGGACAGCCGAGCGAGGCCGGCGCTGGCACGCGGTGCTCCAGGAGCTCGTGCTGCTCCTCGCTCCAGCGGGCTCTGCTTCCAATAAAATCCCCACGGCGAGAGCGAGCGGACCAGTGCCTCCTCTTGGGGCTCGCCCTGGCGCTGGGCACGCGGTCGGACCTGCCCTGTTCCCGCGGGATCCTCGGAGCGGGGCACGCGGAGAGCGGCACGGCCGGGCACAAGAGGCACCGCGGGGCCTTTTCCAGAGGCTGGGATTTGCTGTTGGCCGGGAGCAACGAGCTAAACTTTAACCAGCGCCGCGGGGCTGCGGAGGCAGCAGGAGGGACGCGGGTGACCGCGCGTGCGCGGTGAGAGCGGCTCAGCCCCGCGGCGCCCCAAAACGGGCACGACGCAGAGCCCGCTTTGCTCGCTCCTTCCTGCGCCACTTTGATGTTAATAATTTCAGCGAGGCCGAGGCTAATTAGCGCCTCTGCTAATTAGCTAGGAGCCGACGAAGCTGTTGGAAGGTGCCGGCTGCGGAGGTGTCAGACCCTGCAAACAAAGGCGCCCTCCTTTTCCCAGCTCCCTAACGAACCCGCCCCGCGCTCTGCGGTGCCGCGGGGCCTTTGTCTGCAGCCCCACGCAGGCCCGGGGCTGCTCTAGAGGCCTCCGTCAGTGCGACAGCTCTGTCCCCGAGCCCAGGCGGCCCCGGGCAGGCGCCCTGCTGCATTTCTGCCCCATCTGCCCCTTCCTGGGGTCACTGCTTGTGTCACCCCTTCGCCCGCCTTCACCTTCAAGCGCGGGGCCGGTGAGCGGCCGCGCTGGTGCCTGGAGACGCTGCCAGGCGGAGCGATTTTGCCCCAGGGAAAGGAGCAGGGAGCGTCTCCCTGTTCCCAGGGACTTGTCCCCGCGGGGAGGCAGCAATGAGGGGCGGCCGGACAGATGGCCGGCGGCTGCGGTTCCGTGGAGCCCCGTGGGAACGGGGATGCGAGTGGAGGCAAACGGGGCGCCCGGGGCCGTGTCCTGCTGGCAGCAAGGGCCGGGCTCAGCGGGATGCGCGAGGGCATCGGGTGCCGCCCTGGACGCGGCTCCTTGTGCGAGGCTCTCCGGGCACCGCTGCCAGGACACGCGGAGAAGGTTAACGGCTCTGCGCCCCGCGGCCGGGGCGAGAGGAGCACGGGAAGCAGCTCGCCCCGTGCCCAGCACCCTCCTGCCTGCCCGGCGTCCCCGCTAACGGGATAAACTGGGACACCCGGAGAGCAGAGCCCCGCTCTTCCTGCCGTTCCCGCCGCAGCAGCGCGGAGCACGGGCAGCGGGCCGGGCCGAGGGCAGCGAGCGCAGGCCCTGCGGCGCGCGGCGGGCGCCCGCGCGGGAACAAAGCGGCCGCCGCCAGGAATGCGAGCGGCCTGTTTGCCCGGGCCGCGCGCTGCCTGCGGCGGCACCGACGTGCCCCGGCCTGTCCTTTCAGGAGCTATTGTTGCTCGGGGCTGGGGGCCTCTCTCTTTCCTTTACTCTTTTTCTGCAGGCTTGGTCACAGCCCGGTATTAAATTATTCAAATGATCTCCCTGGGCTTCCCAGCTGCAGTCCTGCGCCGAGCACGCTGCAAAGCTCCGAGGCCTCTGGCTCCTGCTGGTGAACCCCCAGCCTGGCACAAAACACACAGGGAGGGGAGAAGAGGCAACGAGGGTGCCCCTACCCAGGGTCTCCGGCCTCGGAGCAAAAGCCCTTGAGATAAAGTCAACGTTAACGCCAGCAGCACTGCAGGGCATCTATGCAAAGACCCGCATTAAGCCATAAAAGAGGCTACCGAAGGCTGGCACATCAGCGGGAACAAGGGGCTTTGAGGCAACCGAGCCCAGCCCTGCAATTAGGTTGGTGCCCGGGTTGGTCTGGGAGCAGGGAACAAGCTCTCCCGCCGCCACCAAAGGCTGCTGGAGCCGGCCCCGAAACCCGCAGCACCAGGCGAACGCCAAGGGACAGGCAGGGCCTTTGAATCCCAGGCTCTTTGCTGGGGTGTCAGGGTGTAACTGCCTGAAAAGGCAGCTCCGCAAGAAATAAAACGTTAGGAAAAAGTCCTTTACCCACCCTGCCAGGAGCCAAACAGGGAGGTCACGTCTGCGGCGAAGGCGGCACTCGCCTCTCCCGGCTGGACAGGACCTGCTCCCTTCGCCAGCCTGGGAGGAAAGAGCAGGAAAGCTGCAGAAATTCATTACCTTTCACATGACAGTGGGATCTGTCGGCTCCTAGCAGAGCCCGGCGAGATTTCCCTCACTGGAAACAGAGAAGAATCACAAAAATAATTAGAGAGATTCCATCTCCGCCAGCTTATGAAAGTACTGACTTTATACACAACAGATTGGCAACAGCACAAAGATGGATGTGAAAGGAAGAAGGCATCTGCAATGTCAGATAGATCAGAGACAGAAGCTCATAAAAAAAAAAAAAAAAAAAAAAAAAAAAAAAAAAAAAAAGGTCCAGGGCAGATGTAAATTAAAAAAGAAGAAAAAAAGGAAGGGAAAAAAAAAGGAGGAAATGACCCTTCTGGAGATAAAAACTTAACTCCTGTCTGTGAAATTGTGATATGCCCCCTCCTGCCTGCAGAAAGGACCCCTGGTGAAAAGCCATCATCTCCCCGGAGAGATGTGAGTTAAAACCCTTCAGTTACTGACCGCCACTCGCTGCATTTTGCTGCCCTCCACTAACCGGGCTGGGAGCCAGCGAGGGGGTCAGCAGCGGCACCGAGGGGCCTGGGGACAAACAGGCTGCAACTGGAGAGCTGCAGGCAGCACCCGGGGAGCGCGGCCGGGCTGCGTGCGCCGGGTGCTGCCCGGGAGCCTCGAAAGCGCCCCGAAGAGCTCAGCAAATGGATGCAGTCTTTTACGAGGGGGATGGGAACGGGCAGATTTCTCTAATTAGAAAAGAGGTTTGCACTTAGTCACCCAGCGCAGCGCCTGGGGCGGTAAGTCCAGACACTGCTGCGCGAAGGCTGACAGCTCTCTCAGACGCCAAGCTGTCAGCCTGGGCTTTGTAACCAGAGACAGTTTCCACGGGGAAAACAACCTCTGTGCTTGTCCCCAGCAGCAGGAGAGCCCCTCTCCACTCGCACGCAGGCACTTCCAAGAGGAGGGGACAGTGTGAGCCGCCGGGCGCCGTGGCGGAGCTGCAGGGACTTCAGCTCTTTCATTGATCTCTGGCATCCCAGCTTCACCTGGGCAAGGATCCTCGGTGACTGGGAAAGCGGCATCGACTCTGGTGCTGTGGGAAGCGTCGTTACAAACTGCCCGTTGCTGCCAGGCCCTCCGAGCGCAGCCGAGACGCTCCCGAGTGCCGGGGTGCGGGTGGGACCTCAGCGGGAGCGTGGGAGGCCGGGGGAGCCTCCGTGTGGACGGGGCGAGGCTGCACGCAGCCCCTCTCAAACCACGCTCACTGGGACGGCGACTCCTCCACGGCAGCTGGAACACAAGAGGCAAGGAGAGAGAATGAGCCCGAAGGCACCGCCTCGGCAAACCTCGAGTCTCAGCGCCCGTGCAGGGCTGCTTGTCCCTGTCCTGCTCCCCCGGGAAGGCCCCAGCAGCGACGTGGCCGCCTTCTCCAGGGCGCTGTTTGCGCAGGCACCGAGGACAGGGCGCAGCAGCAGCGGGCTCGCGGGGAAGCGGGCAGAGGCCCAGGCCGGGCGAAGGCCGAGCGGAGGCTGCAGCACCCCCGCAGCCTCGCCCGGCCACGCCAAGGTCAGGCCTCAACGCTGCAGGG